TATTATTCTTCAAATTTTCTTTGATCGATCACCTCTTTTTGTCCGAGTTGCAGATTTTACTGACTTTGCAACATATTGGTCAAAGCCATCATCGACTTAAGTACAAGTTTCACTGAAGTTCTTCAGCACATTCCAATTGAAAACATCAGCCAAATCTCCAAAGGTCCTAGCTTTGCTTGGTTTGCCTATAGCCTGTACAAGAGCCATGCCAGAGATAACAATGCATGTTGTGTCATCAGTTGATGGTAGCATGAGAATCTGCTAGCAAATGTGATAATGCAGCTTTGTTGTACAAAGCAGGCCATCTGTTGTTGCCAGGGAAGGTGGGGTCTCGGACAGCTCATGTGTTAGAAGATGTGGTACGTTTACTTCTCTTCCACTGTGGGTGGCACTCAGCAACCTTCTGAAAAGTTTTCTTCCTTGCTTAAAGGTATAGGTTTGAGTTGACTTCTTTGATACCTGCATGGTGTACAGTGCGGAACATGTACTGTTGGAAATATTTTCTGATATTTTGTCATGAATACTCTAAGCATTATCCGCCAATCGATTGTCAATGAACTCTGACAAAAGCTTGTCACCTCGATTCATACCATGATGATGTAATATCTTCCTTAGATCAATCTGCAGCAATACCAAATCTACCAAATCAGATATAGATGGGTGCAGGTACTGCAAAGGACCCTCTATTCATACAAGTTCATGATGTACATCAATCTCTCACTCAAGATGTTGTGGCAACTCTACCAGCATTCCATGCGGTCATGGTTGTGACACAACAAGCCAGTTCAGTGGTTATGGCAAGAAGTCGACCTGGAACATATTTATCGCACAACCAGATTTGTTGCAACCAACAGAAGAAACTGGTGCCTTCAACATGAAAAAGACAGAAACATTTGTCGTCAAAGTGTACAATCCAGCATCGACTGCATCTAGCACTAATTTTAATACACTTACAGCTGACATGTTCCACAGAGTTGGAGACCTAGAGGAACTCCCACCACACAACCTCTACTCAGATGTCAGCACCAGTGCATCACGTGGTGTTCTGCACACAAAGGAAAGGCTGACATTCCACCACCAGAAGAGAATAGGCGGTCGTCTACTGAGGATGTCATAGAACCCACCCCAATGACCCAGAAACGAATGCCAGCACTGTGTCTAGAATTGCTCACCTGTAAATGCACAACAGGCAGATGCTCCTCATCCAGGTGTAGCGCCAAGAACAAATGGTATGTTCCCTTGGATGCAGTTGTGCTATGTCATGCCTAAACAGAACAACTTACCTACCTTTCCAGAAGAGATGGACTCTGACGGTGACTAGAGGTGACATTATTTCACAGCCCTTGACTCTGTGATGTAATTTTTAATACTTCATAATACTACAAGTATTCTCATGTTTTTTTCACTCAAACGATAAACTAGTGAAATGTTCAGAAAAAAGTGCAGTATATCTACAATTTTGAGTGAAACAATGTCCATTTTATTAAAATACGACTTTGGAGGTTGGTTGGTGTTGCTAGAGAAATTAGCTTTCAATATATCATTTGTTATATTATTGGGGGATTACCACAGAAGTCAGTGAATAGTGTACATCATTGAAAAGACAATGTAATAAAGCTTTCATATGATATATTACATGACCATGTTGAAGAACTAAAGTGCAGTATATCTACAATTTTGAATGAAAATATGTCCATTTCAATTAATATCTAAATTTGGGTATGGGTTGAAGTCATGAGAGAAATTGGATTTCAATATTTCCTTTTTTCATTGTTGGGGGTCAATTTACCACAGGAGTCAGTGAATAATGTACATCATTGAAAAGACAATGTAAAAATCTTTCATATGATATATTACATGACCATGTTGAAGAACTATATAAGATCTTGATTTTGAAAACAGGTCAAAATGGCAGCCATCTTGAAATTCAAGATGGCCACCATAAATGCGCACAGAAAAACTTGAAGCATCATTTTGCTTTATGAGTTTACTATTTTTGTGTTTTTAAGCATAGTTGCAATTATCCCCCTCATCCACTACAACAACATCATCTACCACCATATCTCAATAAGCAATTTTCGTCAAAATTGGTTTTGGGGGGTTGGGGTAACATTGTATACAATATCTCAACCCCTATGTAATATATTTTCATTTTGTTTTTTGTATAGGATAGTACAATGGTTAAGGCAGATTTTAATACCCAGTAATAGTGGTTTTATTGTAACAATTCAATGGAATTAGTGTTTTACCTACTCACAAGATTTGAAAATGAAGTAAAACAACATGATTTTTACCAATGTTTCCAGTGAGAATTAGAATAACAGTTAAATAAAACAAAATGTTTGCCTTATTCAGATAACCGAACATATTACCTGTAATCAAAGACATAATTTGGATAGTTTAATGACTTAATAAAATTGTTACAGCCAATTTCGTCAAATTATGCATTTTTCCTTCAATTTATGCAATTTTGACCCCCTGAAAATTCCTGCACACACTTGCAAGCTTACTACCCAATGAAAATTGTGAACATATACCTGCTTTATGCAATAGAAAAGGTTTAAGGTATACAGGAAAATGTGGGAACGAAAATCTTGTTTTTCACCCCTGGCCAACTGACTACTAGGTTACAAATGCGTGTTTAATATACATCTATTCCCGTTTGAATTTCGGTTAACCCTCATGGTGCCTGGACGTCAGTGAGCCTGCAAACCGCTCAGTGCCGCACTGTGCTGACGTCGCGGTTACAAAAACCTATACATTGTATCAAAAGTGTTGCAACGTCTTTATTTCTTCACACAGTGTAACCAAATTGTATAACATGCAACTCGAGTTGATTGTCTTTCCAACAGTATCTAAAGTCACCAAATCCAAAAGATCTATGCACTGCCCAGCCATCGATAAAAGTGCTGGTATTATAAGTTTCCTACTTTTCCACACTAATCGTAATATGGACGCACCCGGATATGGCAAGCAAAGTCAAGTAAGCGCCCTTGTTTGAAATCTAAATGACCAATAATTCATATCATTGGCAAGTACATGTCCTAACAGTGATAGACATATGATATTTATGTTGAAGTACACATTCACTGAGAATTTTCCGTGAGTTATATTTACCGATAAAAAATCCCGATGAAATTGTGCGTGTTTTTGACGTCAAAACAAAATTGACGGAAGTGGTCGTGATTAATTCATACGCAGACTGTTTCAAAGATTATATCACAAAACGAATGACAGTTTAGAATGTATATCTTGAAAGAATCCCGGTTACGTCCATGTATGTTTCAGTGACCGTGCTCTTTTATTAGTTATAAAAACAACTTCGGGGTAATTGACATCGTACATTTTCAAAGGACAAAATGTGAAAGATCGCTAAACAAATTGACATCGCTCAATATCGGGCATCATTATTATTTCTTAATAATTAACAAGATTATACTAACGTAACACCACCCAAGAGTAAGTTCATGTAGATTCAATCAAAATTGTTGAAACGTTGTCATGGGCAGCAAATCTATTCAACAAACCTATTTTCGATCACTCGCAACTCGGGCGCCATATGTCATTGTTTCACTATGGCCACCAGAAAACATACATCCTCGTATCAGCTCGTATTTCGCACTTGGCTGCCTAACTTAGACCTTTGCTCAAAATATACTTGTATGGCCAGTCCATGAAATACCACCTTTTCTTCCATTTATTTATTTGATTTATAAATACGACTTTAGAAGTGTATTTACACCTAGCCAGGTATGTACATGCACATTTAAGGACATACGTGATAGTTTATTTCCACTAGTTTCCCATTCCATCCCATTCTACTAAAGCAAAAGTTTGAAATAGATAATGATCGTAGGTCAATGAAAGTAATGGAATTATTTGTCATAAAAGGAAAAATATATTCTTGGTATTGAACTTCGAAAATTTAACCAGCAAAATCTTTAATAAAAATGGTTTATTATGTCTTTCCTTTTTTTCTTAATTTTGGCCTAGCTAAACTACAGCTTGGAGGGAAGATATACAAATTAAAATGGACAAACATTCATTTTTAAAAAATATCTATTTCATACTTAGGATACAAAACAAAGTAGAATCTAATTATTACTATATGTCACTGGTCGAAGTATTTGGTAATTTAGATAATGCAAAGTGAAAAAAAGACATAAATATAACTATATAAAACATCAAAACGAAATCACATTTACACTGAAAACTTTTTGTCTTTCAGAAATTGATTATCTATTTATTGTGAGTAGATCTAATTACTTTTACTGTTTATGTTCGAGATTCCAATAGATGAAGCTAAAATATTAAAAGCTAGGTTGTTTAATATTGGATCCATTTTGACAGCTTTCTCACTGTACTCAACTAAATGCACATTATATTTTTGGAATATCAAGCATTCAAACAGATATGAAAAGCACATGTCAACATACCAAAATTAGAAAACTGCGCCAAATATTCTAACACTGTTCGTCAAATGATATGCGGTCTCATTCACTCGTCGGTCGCCGTAGACATTTTTTTCCAATCGTGATGTACTAGATATGCTTTCTAGTTCAGTCAAAGAGAATATTGTTATTTGGAAAATGAAACCACGTGTATCCATTATACTACCACAACATTAGATCAGCTGTTTCATGTGACGTCATCCACGTCACAACACGCGAGGTCAAATCACGCGCACCTGTCCAGACGACAAATTCACAGCGGCGGGAAATCACCGACCGTCTATGGGCGATCTTTTTGTTCCAAAGGGCAATAACTCTCCTTTTGAAATGATATAAGCGACGGCACTCTCATACCCAGAGTTCCATGCGGCCGGCAGCCAGCCAGCATAGTACCTCTGCCATAGACTGGTTCCCGGATCCTCCGCTTGGTGTCGCTGCACTTAAATCAAAGGACCGGTATCGCCCACCATGACACATCGTCTGCTACAACAAGATGGCGGCTGTCAAAATGCATTGGGCGAAGCTAGTGAACTCTGGAAAATTGTAATTTTCCAGGTAATGGAGGTGAGTATTGGTACCAACATAACGGCTATGGGATATCATATTCTTTGACTAATTTCGTGCAAATATTGACACGGCAGTGTTTTTGTTTTAAATGGAGGACGATGAATCTCTTATGAATTTACCTTCTGAACAGATTATCATGAAGTTCTTACGCAAGACAATTTAAGTTTCTGAGAAATTCTGTATGAAACTGCCGTGTTGTCAACTATCTGTTGCATGGACTATTACATATGCACTTATATTCATAATTCATATGCTTGTCATTGTGTCTGGTAGTACGAAATTATCATTTCTAGGCAACAACATGACACGGCCAAAATGTCAATGATAACACATGAAACTGAATTTTGACCGAAATAATATCTAGAAATATTTTGTGAATAGTTTTGATGATTCCCGCATCAAAAAAATTAAAGGCAATGAAAGCACGAATAAATATTTAGCTGCAAATATTTTATCGTGACAATAATTACGAAACGGGAATCATTTGAACTGGGCTATGTTTATGGTCAGATATTGTCATGTACCCTAATTTCGTGGGTATATTATTTAATTCCTGAGCATACTGAGGGACCATTTGATATTGGTGGGAGAGTGGGGAAGGGGATGGTGGTCTGGGTCTAGGATTGTGTTTGGAGACAAAATATATTATCAGCTACAGCTGAAATACCAGATATTCTTTTAATTACAACTATGAGACTAATCATGTTTTTATATGCCTCTTGCAACAATGTATTCTTTGTAGCAGTCAATTTCTTTTTTTCAACAGTTTGAAGCATGAATATTTTTTTCAAGCATATTTCAGGGACAATTTATTTTTCTCAATAAAATCCCAGCCCTACCACCAGAATACCAAATGGTTGGTCCCTTATGTCTTGATTCAATCAAAGAATTAACATTATAAATATGATCAACTGATGAAAAAAATCAGGACAATGAATAAATCGTCAAATGCTTCATATTTAATTGAAAGGACATTAAAGATCTGTCCATATTTATAGGGTCAGACTAGACTATTATTTTTAAATTAATTGAAAAGTTCTATATAGTAGTATTTATTTTTATTTATAAATATTTAATCATTTGATGTGACTTTTAAAATGTGTCCATCTGATGATCATGTTAACCAATGCATTACCATACATAAAGAGTCAGTTGAATAGGTTGCACTACTTTAACATGCAACAGGCCCTATGCAGGTACATATGATATAATAAGATGTTGTTGAATGCCTTTGTGAATATACTACATGTACAGTAACTGTAATTACATCTGTTGTCTCCAGATTAACAGCTGGTGTCACGAATATTTCCCGGATCCTCTGCTTGGTGTCGCGGCTCTTGCTCTACTTTCCAAGGAATTAAAGGACCGTGATCGCCCACAATAAAACATGGTCTGCTAAAACAAGATGGCGGCTGACAAAACACATTGGGCAAGGCTTGAGAGCCTTGAAATATTGTAGTTTTCGCAGTAATTGAGGTGAGTATTAGTACCCACATAATGGCTATTTGATGTCAGTGTATCTTTTGGCTAATTTCGTGCAAATATTGATACGGCAGACTATTATTTTTTATTCATTTGAAAATTTCTTTATAGTAATATTTCTTTATATTTATTAATATTTAATCATTCATTACCATGTAATTATTAGTTGTATTCAAACTGCATACACATACATGTTTGTTTGTAGGAACTTGCATAAGAATGAAGTCATGACTGACCGTACCATAACATAATCATTGATACAAAGTTTAGGTGGTAAAGATTAAGACAAAGCAAACAGTATTGGCCATCCTGACAAGTTTTATATGAGACTCCCTACATTATTTTCTAAGTTTTGTACCGCCTCCGTGATCTAGTGGTAGACCGTCCGTCCGGAGAGCGGAAGGTCGGGGGTTCGATCCCCGACCGCGTCATACCAAAAGACGTTAAAAGATGGTACTTGTTGTTACCCTGTCTGGCGCTCGGCATTAAGGGGCTAAAACAAGGACTGGTCGGCTCGGAGTCAGTATACTGTGTCTGAGTGGGGTATTCATGTTAAACTGCTGCATGGTATCTCAGTGAGCTAGCACTATAAATCGGCATCAGTCCGGACTAGTACAAGCAGCCACACAAACACACACACGTACATGCACGTCCCTAAATAAGTACAATAATCTTGGACGCGACATTAAACCCCATTTCACCTCACCTTCTAAGTTTTGTTTTAAGCTGTTGACACAAATTTTGTATAAACATACTGATGTTGCACCATTTGCCTAAAATTAGAATATTTGAAAAAAAATGATATATAATATTTTTCAGGAACCATGCCATAATGGGAGATGGACTAGAGATGAGGAGAAATTTTTGACAGTTTGTGGAGAGCAGGGGGGTGGAAAATATCAAATACAAAGAGTGGAAGGACTGTGCCGAAGACCAGAGAAATGGGTGTACAGACTGATGTAACTTTTGGGCCTATGTTTGAAGTGACCTGGGCATGTAGCAGTCAGGCACTTTATACCACTCATTCACATTCCTTAATTAGATCTATGTTATCAAATGTATCAGTCAGTGAACCAGCCTCACCCGCCATACGCTCACAGACCTGCCATGTCTCTGACATACCGTCAACCGATGCCACTTCTCCGTTGGTGCCCGAACAAAACTACTCGCAACCATATACAGTCAGTGAACCAGCCGCACCTGCTATATGCTCACAAACCTGCCATGTCTCTGACATACCGTCAACTGATGCCACTTCTCCGTTGGTGCCTAAACAAAACTGCTTGCAACCACTTACAGTCAGTGAACCAGCCTCACCAGTTGTCTGTTGTTCAATTATGCTTCAGCATAACTAAGCAAATCAAAAGAGAACTCAAATCTTATCAAAGTAAAAGATTAAAAGGCAGAAAAAAAAAATGGCAATTGGCAGAATTTCTTACCCACCAATCAAGAAATGTTCCTGGAAGAGTATCTTTGACTCATCTGGTCAAACTGGTATTCATGTACAACAAAATGAATAAATGCTCAATTATCGCATTAAGATATTTCTTTGCCATTTGGCATGGATACTTTCACAAGTTCAGGAAAAAGCTGAGATGGGTTATCAATTTGCAAATGTTTGTTAATGAGGTTACTGTTAACTGGTTGTATATTTTCACCATATATTTGGGGCCATTGAAATTGGATTGTGTGATATTAATTCTATGATCATGTTGTACTGTTGTTTTGTGCAGTATCGAAGAAAGATATTTCAGTGTTATAACTATTTATTCTTGTAACTAATATCAATCCCAGCTGTATTTCGTGGCAAAAACATACCTATTCTGTGACTAGAATTTCACTTTCACAATTGTTTTTAGTGACAGTGTTGATTGATGATCACTAGTGTAAACATACAGACATAAGCAATAATACATAATTCATATTTACTGTGAAACAAAATCAGGATATTGAGTTTATGTTACCATTTCTCAAACGAAAAATGTTTAAAAGACTGTTTGTAAATTGTTTTTACGTTTCCATTTGTCATACTAAACTTGGCATTTAAGAACAATATGTTTTCTAAACATTGGTGAATGGAGAATAAGAAAAGTAAGCAATTTTTTCTATGATTTCACTAACAAATGTGATTATTATCACATATTTTAAGAGTTGATGAGATTAATGGTAACTGTTTAAATTTGGGATTTGTCACGTCATTATTATTTGTAACTACGGTAACCTCTGTAATTGTCAAAGTGCTTCGCTACATGAATTGCCTTAGCTTATCAAACCATACTGTAGATTGTACATGTTGTAGTGTGTATATTGGAAAATATATTGAAAGATTTCTGAGTGCAATTGTTGTGGTGTTAATTTTCTTCTTGAGATGACTGTATACTGTACTAGTACTACTACTTTGGATGTACTTCACATTTCCAATAGCATTAAGAATATTATTAAATTCATATGTATGTATGTGTGAAACTATTGAACTACATTGTACATGGAAAACATCATTTTTGTCCAGTGGTCAACCATGTGCAGAAAGTCTAATAACAAATATTCTATAACCCTTTTGGGAGGTATTTTCCCTTTTGACCCTTGTAAGTAATGTTGATGCCCTTTAGATTATAGGTTGCTGCATTGTATGCAAAACCACAGACCTATATACAAGTTATACAAGTCCATGGCTATACTTAATCTTAGATCTCCATGTCTACATCAGTGTAATCAAATGACTCAATGTACTAAATGTTAGTTGGGATACTATTAAATAGATTTAATAGAGATTAGGGAAATGTTTCCGAAACATGTCAAGTTTTCATAAATTGGGTATCAACAAAGTGTATCGATACCTCGCTGGTGTATACTGTTTTGTTTATAAATCTATTTTGATTGCAAATTTCACCTGCCAGGAGTTGCAGCTGCAATTAGAGGATTCACTATGCACAAAGCCTGCTGAATTTCATACTGGGCTCTAAGGATTGCACGTAAATCCCCTACTTTGAGAAAGGCTGGTCGAAAGTTAGATTTCCCCCATGATATGACACAATGCGCCTCATCAACAATAATGTGACTGATCTGAAATTTGAATATGGGGTGAGGATAATGGGACACAGTACACTAAGACATTTTTATTTATAGAAAACATTTAACAAAATGTGCAATAAAATAATCACTACAACAAGGCGATTTTGGTCTTCCCTTACGACCATATCAAAGTCAAAGAGAATTAGCCTCCTGACCACGTCAAGGTATCGCCCTTTCAGGAGGTTTACATATTAAATAGCACTATTTTCCAAACATGAAACATACATTTATTTATAATTATTACACTGTGGCCACGGAGGCGATTGTGCTGCTCATCGAGAATCGCATTTAGTGGATTCACAACCACTAGGCCTACAGTGCTGGCGGAATCGTTCACTGTATCACAACAGTTTTGCCGTAACCAGTCGGTAGAACACCCAAAACACCCCTTGATGCACATGCCAAAATAGCATCACGTTGTTTAGCCTTTAATTGGAAAAAATTACAAGATTGGTACCTGTTCGCCCGATCCAAAATATTTGCAATTTCTATGTTACTGTTGACAGACGACACATTAGTCGCCATCTTGTCTTGACTACGTTACTGTCTATATAACCAGCAAAGGCGCTAAACCAGTTTACCGTAACGTCAAGGTGAAGGTTGTTTTACCCAATACCGGTCGTTCCAGTCTGTTGCAGGAACGAACGGGAACCAGTCTACCTCTGCCACAGCACACTCCGTCGCAGTGGTGACTCAGCATAACACCACTGCCACAGGCTAATTTGCATATCACGTGACCGGACTTTTCGCTTGTTTGTAAACAAACGCGCTTTTTCAGAAATCAGTGTAGAACGGACTAATGCAAGTATTTGGGGGCGCTTTACATATTGTTTTGCATAACTATATAGATATGCTACTTCAACTGCGACAGTGAGTTGCATGATAATATATATTTATGCATCAAAGTGACCGTGTCGCTAGCTCTCCGTTGGGCTTCGATGACAGCACGTGTAGCCGTACAACCAATGTAAACATAGGATAACTACGCAAAAACAAGTAGATTTTTACGTATTTGCATACTTTTACAATGAAAGTTTACCATTCTTTGACATTTGTTTTTGAAAATGTGTAGACTTGTCAAACATGAAACGGATGAAAAGCATATGCAATATCTTGAATGGACTGTGAAAGATGTGACGAATCGTCACATGGCGCTGGCCTGTGGCAGAGGTACTATGCTGACTGGCTGCCGGCCGCATGGAACTCTGGGTAGGAGAGTGCTGCCACAGGCCAGCGCCATGTGACGATTCGTCACATCTTTCACAGTCCATTCAAGATATTGCATATGCTTTTCATCCGTTTCATGTTTGACAAGTCTACACATTTTCAAAAACAAATGTCAAAGAATGGTAAACTTTCATTGTAAAAGTATGCAAATACGTAAAAATCTACTTGTTTTTGCGTAGTTATCCTATGTTTACATTGGTTGTACGGCTACACGTGCTGTCATCGAAGCCCAACGGAGAGCTAGCGACACGGTCACTTTTATGCATAAATATATATTATCATGCAACTCACTGTCGCAGTTGAAGTAGCATATCTATATAGTTATGCAAAACAATATGTAAAGCGCCCCCAAATACTTGCATTAGTCCGTTCTACACTGATTTCTGAAAAAGCGCGTTTGTTTACAAACAAGCGAAAAGTCCGGTCACGTGATATGCAAATTAGCCTGTGGCAGTGGTGTTATGCTGAGTCACCACTGCGCCGGAGTTCGAAGCGACGGTCCAAACTGTCGCTTCCGGTCTGGTTCCCGGATCTATGCGCGCTGCGCCAACTACTGACATGTAGAGACGGAGCCAAGCTAAAAAGGTTATCCTGTTGCACCTTCGTTCATAAACGGTCGTTTACAACTGAATATTTTTAACTAGCACATATTTTGTAGTGATTATTAGTTTATATTATCAACATTTGTTGAGTCTTCAACTACAAGACGAATTGTCACTATGGAAGATAGCGGGAAAAACGTCATGAAAAACGGTATATTGCCACGGTATTTTCTACGTCAGAAAACAGCCAGGCATTCTGTCAGTCTGGGCTAACATATTGCATCGATGAAATAATGCAAACTTATTTTATTTATCAGCCTTTGTGTTATTTCCCACAACAATTCAAGCATTCAAATCTCAACAAATACTACCATGGACTTCAATTTAATAAAATCAGTGATATGCCTACATTTGCAGCAGACAGACATCTTTGACAGGGTTTAACAATGATCTATATATAGTAAGTATACATCCGTGCCTTTAAAAAAAATTTAAGAAGAAATAACGTTCAAAATAATAAAACAACTGATTTTAAATATTACTTTTTATATCAAAAATAAAAGTTGCATCTGAATAATTAAATTTAAATTATTTTTTAGAAATAGGCCACATGAAAATCTACCATGCATCTATTAAGCACTCAGTTACTCAGTTGCAGTATACATACTAGTCATCATACTTTGAAAAAAGAGATTTACCCATATTATTCTGCCCCTTTTAACATGTGTCCATCATTAAGTGCTCTGAGTCATCACAGGTGTTAATTCACTGATCCATCATTTCTTACAGAATTCTGATACTCATGCTCTTAAAATAGTAGTAAATTACAGAGATTTGTCCCAACAAACAACAAATCATACTGACTACCCCACAAAATGCGTATGATGCATAAATAGATGGAAATCATAGTTTTATCTTCTTGTTTTTGTAACATTATATTTATTTTAATGTTGACAAATCATTTCCCATACATACCAACACACTATCCTGATGTATCTTAGTATTCAGATTTTCAGTTAACAGTATTTCAAGACACCTGTAATATAAAGTATATTTTGTAGATATTATTATCATATAGCAAATATGAATTTAGAAAGTTTATCATCAAATCTTCTGATGGTTAAATAAATGCAAATTGAACCCCACAATCATTCCATGTAGATAAATGGATTTATTTATGTTATTTGTTTTTGCATACAACAGATTATACTTACTTATATGTTACAGTCAGTGTCTATAAACAGGCCCAATATGTATATTGACTGAAAATTTTAGTTAATGTGCATATTGACTGATTCACTCAGGCAAGGTATATTTTTTCTTAAATTTTCATTCATTTATTATTGCCTGAAAAATAGGACCGGATTTTAGACAGACTGGCTGAAATGAATTAGACTGCATAATTTAATCTCCTCAATTTAATTTGGATCTATTTTGATCTATCAAGATCAAAGTAACTTATGCAAGAAATTAAAAATGTTTTCACAATGAATTGAATGATTCTCCAAACATGAAAGAATACCAGAGTCCTTTTTTTATGTTACTTATCTTTATTAGCATAATATTCAGTTCAGAAACAGATGACTGCTGAAAAGTCATGCATGTGTAATCAAAGACTAGTACACATGCACAAGTATGCCGAGATATTAAATAAAATAATAAGAGTCATTGTGCAATGCAGATATCTGTTGGTGTGAATAGAAAAAAAATAACATTGATAATTTGTTTATGTTGGAATTTGAAACATCAGTTTAGAACAAGGAAACATATAGCAAGGCCTAATGAAGTTAAGAATCAGCTTTATCTGTGTTACAATCATATGATTTTTGTCAATGCAAACTGGATGTAGACACTGAAGTGTTAATACAATCAACATTATAGAGATTGACAATTAGTATGAATATATGTTAGTATTAGTATGGGTTTTTTTATAAAAATTGTAGTTGGTACAAATACTCTTGCATATGTATTTAACTAATATATAGGGTCCTCTGTCTGAAATTATTTTTTTTCTACTTTGTAGGCCAAAATAATATATATCTTTCATTGATCATACTGGAATATAATCATGGTAGTATTTGGCAACAAACAGCTACCATTCATATACATAAAATCCTTTTATACAACATGCACTAATTAACCCTTAATATCAAAACAGATTTCAGTGATTTCCATTACTTTTGTTTTGAACATTGTATCATGATATCTAGTTGATGACAGTGCCTGTTACTCTTACAATTTCTTGAGAACATTTCTCATTGCTCTCTGTTATATATCTGACAAATACTTACATGTCACATGTGTTGCTGTCAATATTCACAACATTGAGGCTACGAGCAACTTTACGTTGCATAAGACCTTCACATTTCGCGTACCGCATCGCCTTATAAGGCTGCACATACTGAAATGCATGCATATGATTTAGCCTGCTCGGCGATACTACAACATAGATATAGGAACGTACACACAATCTACTTAACTTTCATATTCATACATCAAGGACAACACTTTCAGTACCAATTGCAAAGCGACCTGGGATGAACGATCAGCTGATCTCACCGCATCGCTTCGAAAGCCTGTCTAGTGGATAACTATACAATATGATCAGTCGTGGTCATCCCTGATGTATCATTAAATCAAAGAACATTTATTTCCGGACATGGCAATAGATAAATCATTGTTTAGGCGAAAAGATATGCTGTCCACACACAAGCGTGACCGTTGCCGACAGAGGTGAAGGTTATACTAGTTAACTGTCTATAGGCGTCATAGTAACATGTAGTGCTCGTATCGCGCATACCACATGCGCCGTCAGTTTAAGGTTGGACCGTCCGGGTCAGCGCTCCTAGCGGGTTAGTGAAGGGAAGATAAATTGAAAAAGATCGCCCATTAGCCTATTTGAATAAAATTGCAGATTGTAACGAAATAAAATTAATTTTACTCATTGCTGACATTTCCGATGACATATCAAATACGAGTTGAAGACTTGCAATAGATTATCATACGTTAATCGAGAGTACAGTGTACATAAATAATTTGTAAATCTAACATTAATTTTTGATCTAATATCCATGGCAGAATGTTTGAAAACGAGCTATTATATATTCCATTTTCTGAAGAGATTAGTAATGTGTATTTGATGAAATATATGCATACACAATTGGTTATCAATTATCTTCTACAATCACAGCATGTACCATGTACATTAGACTCATGGAAAATACTATTTCAGCAAACCAATCACAGCGCAATTATCACAGTTTCAATGAAAGGAAAAACAAATCGAAATCGAACTTTACAACACATCGTATCCATAAGCGGTTAACCC